GATCAAAACACGTCAACTTTCCTGAAGTACCGTTGTAAGCAAGACCTGCTGCGGCAGCCAGACCGCTAAGCTTGTCGGACGTTGTTAACAACACTTTGCATGCGTAGTTCACTGGGTTGGCGGGTAATGGGGCAATTAAATCTGCTGGGTAGGGATAGTCACACATGGCTAATGTCGTGAATGAGTTACGAATCCAGCCAATCAGATGGTTTATCTACAAACAACACACATTCAACATCAGTGTACTTGATGATGATGATGAAAGAAAAAAAAATAAGGAAGAATGCAATAAATGAGAAGAAGAGGAGGAAGAAGAGGAAGACGATAAAAGAGAATTTAGAAAGACAGCGAAGAAAGTAAATAATGAAAACAAGGAGAGAGGGAGAAGAGAAATATGGGACGAAGACGAGAGAAAATAAGACTGAATGCAAGAAATGCAAGGATAAAAAAGAAAGTGTAAGAGTGAAAAGAGAATTGAAAAAACAAATAAAAAAAACATCAATTTTATGACACACATCTACTCATACCTGATCAACAGAGGTCAAAGGTTTGCAAAGTTTAAATGCTTCAGAGATTTTTGCCAGTCCTATTAATAGTGGGAATGTACTAATAAGTATCATGAAGATTATGAATTAACATCACTTTAAAGTCCAGCACCTTTGGCACCCAATGCTTTCAGGGCCTCCAGTTCAATAAAACCTTGTCGCACAGCAAAAGGGCAATTTGGATTGGCACCTGTAAAGTCCTACAAAATATATAGAGAACTMAGCAGGCTACAAATCACAAAAATACMAATTAAATTCTATCTTTGGTTGTTCAATTCATATATCCAACATGGCATCTACATGGCAAAAGTGCATGACCAGGCAGTATKATTGGCTATAATAATAGAATCGTTATATATGCCAACTGTCAAACTTACATCTGTAACAGCTTTGAAGAAGAAATCCCTTGAYTTTGTGTCAGCCAGCATGTAAATGGGTGCACTGGCTGCAAGAGCTGCATCAACAACATTTGGGTATTTAAACCTTAAATATGCACTCAGCATACCGCCATAACTATATGAACCAAGAAAGAGAAAAAATTAGTTATTTGTCTCAAAGGCAAGGGTTGTCAAGCATTCATAGGAAATTCCAAGCGTAAATATAAGCAATATCAAGTTTCTTGCCTTCCTCCAAATGAAACAACAGGGCTTTCAGTAGCATTAAATGCCTTCTTCAGATAGGTTATCAACACTGCAAAGTCAGCAAGAGCTTGTTCTATTGCAAGGTATCCRATATTCTCAGGCTTGAATGAATCGTTACCAAATGGCAGTGTTGTGCCATAATATCTCTAGAATAAGAATTAAAAAAGCAATGGAATAGTGATAATGTTGATAATGTATCTTTGAGTGTATAGATAGAAGAGTGAAAATGAATGAATGAAATGGGAATGAATGAATGAATGAAAGAAAGAGTTAATGAAAACATTAAAGGATGAGTTAAAAAATCAGACAAGTACGTAGTATAGATGGAAAKCTCTAGCAAAATATATAGCTATATTATAATATATGACTTACATGCTCTCCAAAAATTATCARAGCTTTGAATTCCATGGCTGCCTCAAACACAAATCCCGAATTTGCCCAGAAGGCTGTGATGTCACCTTCATTACCACTATAGAAGAAAACTGGACCTTTGCCATCCCAGTACTTCACTGTTAAGAATGGGATAAGACACTGAGTATAAGAAAACAAGGAAACCACAGGAAGCCCAAAAATACAATTGCAAGCTAAAAAAACTTTTGAGACTTCGGGAGAACTTCGTACTTCAGGAAGCTAMTGAATTTTACAAAAATGAAGATCTTTGATTGATAATAAAGTCATACGTTGTCAAAAAAAACCCTTACCACTGTACAAATAACGTTGCTCGAAAGTCTTGCTTTGTYCGAAGTTGAAATGGTCGAGTACTTGCTCGAAGTGACCAACTTGATACGGCTCTTCTCTCTCTGCTAGCGCAACAGAGGCAATCACAAGAATACAGAGGAATAGTTGCATGCTTTAGAAGTAAAAAGAACTACTTTTTACAGCTCACAAAGCTATCTGCTCCTGACTACTTTGTGAATGTCACATGAGCTCATTGACAAGAAAACTTCCGTCGAGTMCTGATGGGGGTGGGGTAAGGTTTTTGCATGTCTCTCGGAGGGAAGCTTGGGCCGAGTGTGGTTTCTAAGAGACAAAGTTGTTGATCCAAAATGGCGGCAATATTGGGCTAAAAACKTCAATTTTTATTAGCTTTTTCATCCATAAATACCCTTCAAAATGCCTGAGGAGAAGAAAGACGAAACAGACCAAGTTCTGGAAGGCGAGGGAGAAGAAGAACAAGGTGCTCCTGACGATATTATGCCTCTTTTCTTCACGAGTAAGACGCAGGAGATCTTTGACTGCAGAGCAGATGAGGACGTTACTGATGAGAATCCCTTCAAGCTGATCAACAAGGATGTTATTGAGCAAGATTTTAAGAACAGAGCTGCAATTTCTGACTTTCATCCAGCTAAGAAAATTATCCAGGTTTGCGTGTTATTGAAAAATACGACAACATTTCCAATCAAAATAATCATTCAAAGAAACAAGAAGAAAATAGAAAATGCAATTTAGACTTATCAAATTGAATTGGGAATTTAGAAAAAGGGGAGTTTGACTTTCATTTAGTTAGAGTTGAGATATAACTAAATTTTAAGGTAATTTTCTGTGTAAGTCTGCACACCCAGCTGATATAATACAATTTCACGGTAAGCTTATTAATGAACCAATGATCTAACTAATCAATTTCCTATATTTACTGTATATTTTAGGATTATCCTGCTGTTGAAGTTCTTGTTGTCTATGACCCTGCATTCAAATATGGACAAAACTTCTATCTTTGTATAACAGAGGAAGCTAAAGAAAGACACCTCAATGTAACTACCTACAAATATACCAGATTGCTCAAAAATCACTTTCAATATTGCTCATGCAAATTTGTGTTCATTTGTTAAGCCACCTAAGCTTGAGGAGGAAGCTGGTGAAGGGGAAGGAGCTGAAGAGGAGGAAGAGCTTATGTTACAGAAAAAGTTCCCGCGTACACCGTTGCCATGGGATTCCATGGGTAGTGAATTCGAAGTTGAAGAAGAAGTAGTATTGGAAAATAGACCAAAAGTATGTTTAAGTTACGTATAATGGGACTGCAATTCACATTTATTTTTCAGTCATTCATTTATTTATATATCTAATCATTTGTCATTCACTAATCTACATGTATTTGAACCTTCACTCAACTATTCACACATTCATTTTTCCATCCATAAATTCATCAATCAATTCATACATCCATTTTTTCATTTATTCTRATTTTTATGTAATATTTACCAATTCAATTATTATGTGATGTTTTTTTCAGATGAAATTCCGAATATCAAGGCTAAGAAGAGAATTTGGAGCACCTTACAACTTCACAACAAGGAGTGCATCTGACGCCAAGGATGGTATCATTGAATGTCCATCATATGACGAAGAGACTCCTAGTTTTCAGAGGAAAGAATTAGAAAAAGGAATCCAGGTACCCTTTTTTATAAATTTGTTGYAAAATAAAATTAAAGAAAGGTTAAATGTATAATGATATTACATGATTGTATTAATATATTTTGTTCCTTTACATAATGTGGTAAACAGGTTAGTAGCCTGCGTTACATCCGGAATATTCTTCGATATATCCCGACCGGTATTTGTGAAATTTCCGGGATGTAACGCAGGCTAACTAGTTATTTGCAATGGTTTTTGTGGCACTGACATTTTTATTCCAACAGGCAATTTCTGATCTAACAGAGACTGGGAATCAAACTGAATGGTGAGAATATTTTCCATTCACTTTCATTCATYCTTCTATTTATCACCCATTCACTCAACTCATAGATTCCATTTAGTCATCAATCCAAGCATTCTTGCATTTCATTTGCTGATTGATTTATGTTCCATGTCATTCAGGAGAAAGCCACGCAATGCTGTAACTCAGTATGAACCGAGAGAATTTAGTGAAGAAGAAAGAGAAACGATGAAAACATCTGCAAATCTGAAATCCTTTGTTGACAAAGTAACTCCAAGGTTTGTTTCAGTGAAAMTGAATTKAGTGAAGCAATTATTAGTTGTTAAACTTAAAACTTGTTGTGTGTGTTTTTTTTTATATACTACAGTGTTGTCCATAGTAGATTAAATAGTACATTCATGTTCTAAGTTCATCATTACTTTATTCTGTTGTGTCCTTCAGGTTTGAGTTGGCAYTGCAACAAAATGAGATCATGAATGTCTTTTATGATGATTACCAAGGACTCAATGACGATGAGACAACATTTGGCGCCAAATCTGACAGCTATCTAAAGGTATTTATAAAATATTGTATATAACATGCAGCATATCATACTGTACATACTCTGGTAATTTATTGTTTATAATAAAAACTCAACTTGAACCATTGTTTTCTTTTCAGGAATATCAGTCATTCACAGACCTTCAATTCAGCAAAGAAAAAACAATCACTCACATTGAATGGCATCCTACAATCAGGGGTGTGTAATAACTATCAATGAAAATGATAACCTACTTCTGTCAATATTTCAGAATAAAGTATCTATTGTTAAGTAAATAGAAAAGAAAGAAACTTAAAGGGGCTTTGACAAGAGCTTAAAAAATACTAGCTGTAAGTATTGTATTTTGCTGATCAATAGTTTTTTGCATTTCATAGGAATCATAGCTGTYTCATGTGGAGAGAGGTTAAACTTTGATGACCGTGTTGACCAGTTTTCAAGAATACTCATGACTCCTTCTCTGGTCTTGATCTGGAGCTTTTCAGACCCYATACACCCCCTGATTCTCTTAGAGGCTCCTGATGATATYTATTCATTCAAGTTCAACCCATCTGATCCCAATATTATTGCAGGGGGGTGCATTAGTGGGCAGGTACGGGATATGGTGATGATGATATGTATATAGCATTAATGATGTGTAAAAAAGTTATCCTCTTATAGTCCCTGATACAGTAATTTTCATTTCTGTATCCCTGTTACTGAGGGATTCCRATATGATAATGGATGTGAATTAGGTGAATCCTATAATTATTAATAGTTATTATTTTTTAATGATAATAGGTTATTATGTGGGATATTAGTAACTACAGCGAAAGGTTAAAGACCCACCGTCAGTCACATGGTCAAAGCAAAAAGAATTCTATGAACTCATTGGTAAKATTATTTATTATATCAGTTTTAGTCAAATGGCTTATGAAGGATTAAATATTCTTCTTCTGTAGCCTGGGTTTGAAGATGACTCCGAGAAAGACCAGTCACCAATGATTCGCTACTGTGCCGTGTCATCCATTGAGCACACGCATAAGACAGCAGTCACAGACATTCAGTGGATACCAGATCACATGGAGGTAAGAGAACACTCAACAGATAACACTTTATTTTGCCCTTTTGGGATCCCTGTGTGAACTCCTTGGAAGAGCTGGAGACTTGGACCTAAACAGGAAGCCCAAGCATCTGGGGATGAATTTAGGCCCTGCCTATCACTTGCATACTCTTCACATTAGCCTGCATACAAGTAGTCATTTTATGGGAAGAAAGAAACAATGGGAAACAATAGAAGGGAATCAAGATACTGGAGTAAATCCCTGAATATAATAGTTGAGTTTCCCGATCTCTTTTTTACGCTGTGTTAGCCTCAATTGTGTTCTAAAATATTCAGAAATCTAGATAAAACTCATGATATTTCAAGCTATTTCCATTGTCTTCTATGCTCACAGATCTCTTGCATTTGCACGGGCTGTTGTGTATAAAAGAATTTATTACACGATTTTGAGGCTAACACAGCGTAAAAGAGATATCTAAAAGGGTTTATTGCATCGATACCTTTTTCAGATTGGTCGTATGGGTGTGGTAGTAGAGAACAGGTCCCAGCATTGCAATCAGCTCATGACTTGTGCAGCAGATGGGTGAGTTACATGTACTTATATTGTCAGTCGTATGATGAATATAAATATAAGAAAAAATGTGGTCCAGGTTTTGGATCTGCACATAGAGGTGGTTCTAAGGGAGGTGTTATGTGGCTGTCATAACATTTTGGTAAAATTCTCAGGAGCATACTATTCTGGGACACACGCCCTTCAAAGTCAGCAGCACCTGCTCAAAGTACRACWGCAAACCCTGCTGGGATTCCATTGACTTTTAAACACCTGGACTTGACGTGGAAACCAATACTCAAGGTATATGTACACCTCAGGCTATGGTAAACAGTGACTTAAACCTAAAGTAATGAATGAAAGGGATTAGGGAAGTGGATGGAAGGAGAGGGGGAGGGAGAGAAGTAGAATAAGGGATGGAATGAAGTATGGCGAGAAGAAGAAAGGAAGAGCGAGAAAGTAAGAGGAAGAAGGAGTGGCAGATTAATGGAGGAAAGATAGAGGGGGGGGAGACGGAAGTAAGAGAGAAAAAAGGGAATGAGAAGGATGGAAGCAACTGTAGTTTGTTCATTTTCATAGGTAACTGTACAAAGAATGACTGGTACAGGAGAATTTGGTCCAACAGTGTTCAGTATCATTGAAAAGCAAGGATACAGAGCTAATGGTTAGTACACAATGACTGTAAACTATACTGTTATCTTAGAAAGGAAGTTGGTTTCAAAGACATATCATTAAATACGTATTTTATATTTTTGTCATTTACTTATCCATTTATTATTCAGTAATTTCTATTGTATTCATTTATTATTTTTCTTGTTGTTAAGCTGGAAAATCAAATGATACCAAAGACAATGATGGTCTTCCTAGACATGCTTCTACTCTTGGTAAATCCTTGAAGGATCAGGGAAAACCACTGGAAAATATCAGTACCAAGTTCTATGTTGGCACTGAGGTAACGGAAAGAATTATTAAATGATAGGATTATAAGACTGACTGGTTCATGAACCCTAAAGGCCCGTTTACAMTTGCGATTTTTGCAGCAAGATAATCGTCACTTTGCTATCGCGCAACTGAAATCGTTGTTGCGACGATGGAAATTCGTCGCGAGGTTGCAGCCAATTTTAAAGCATGTTCGAAACTCAGGAAATGATCGCGCGGCGACCTGGCCTTTCCACCCAACTCATGATTGTTCCTTGCTGGGAGATGAGTAGTGATACCCCCTCAAGGGGATGCTGATAAAACGGTTAAAAAAAACGTAATATTATCTCTTGTAAGTATTGTAAATCAGTTTTTGTATTGGTTTTAGGAAGGAGACATGGTGTACCTGGACTGGAAACCAGAAAAGGACACTGATAGTGGAAAAATAACAAGTAAGCCAGCTTGGATGATGATGATGTTGTTGTTGTTGATGATGATGATGATGATGGCGATCCGAAATATTGATCAATAGTTGCTAATAGACACTAATGAAATGGATTTTAGTTTGCTGCTTATTACCCTGCGAACAGAGTGCATTATAGGAAATACACTCTGTTCGCAGGGTAGCTGCTTATAAGCTGCATTTATAACAGAGACTACAGTAGGATGGCCCAGCTGCCCCTAACATTTTATTTCAATAACGCAACATTATTTCTGTCTTCCAGCCCCGCGTCCTTCGTTTGTATGGCAGGCTCATGATGGTCTCATTACCACGCTCACGCGGTCACCATTCTTTAGAGATATCATTTTGACCGTCGGTGGTTGGACCTTTGCTATTTGGAAAGAAGGCGTCACGGTTAGTGTGATTCACCTAGTGGGAGGGTGATTTTCTTCGTCAAACCCGGTAGTCATGTCATCACGCAACAAAGTGCTGTAGTACAAGGAAATATGAGTCTATCAGCGTTTTCATATCGTCTAGTTTTGATGTTTTTTTTGGTTCCCATTCCAGCAACACCTATTCAGTCAGCGTCTTTCGTTTGTCTTTTCAGTTTTTCTTGGAGACGTTTGGAGAGATTTTGACGTGATTTCTAAGCTAAGTGCGATTTCTTATTTTGATTTTTAGAGTGATCCTTTGCTACAGTCGGCGAGTCACATTCTTAAACTAACCAAGGGACACTGGAGTCCTTCGAGACCTGGTAAGTAGACTGAGACAACATAAAACTAGCTCTTTTACAACCTAGATATCATACATATCTTCAGCGCGTACTCACTTTTTTACAGCAGCTTTCCTATCAGAAACATTGACATTATGCGACTTATTATCTTTTAACTAAATTTGTCTGTTAAATCACTTATATACATAATTGAATTTTGTTTTGAAGGAGTGTTCTTCATCACTAAAGTTGATGGCAGCGTTGACGTGTGGGATCTCTTAGATAGGTAAACTACACGCATGCGCACAAYCTCACATTCTTATCCCTTGTAATCCATTGTGCCTAGAGCTTGCGCAACTTCCAGCGTGCGATGAAGAATGAGGGAATAGCTAAAAGTKTCTTAACAATCCTTCATAAGTCAGCTATTAATTTAGTTAATTGTTGTTTTTTATTT